TTTTGTCCATACATTCGTACTATACAAGATGTTCCTGAAATTTGTTGATTAAACAAGAAGCTCTATGAAATGTGACAATGTGAACTTCTCATTGTTGATTAAACAAGAAGCTCTGTGAAATGTGACAATGTGAACTTCTCATTAAGTTAATGAACGTGGTGTGACAATGGTTAAGAGCGCAGCCGCAAAGGAAACTGAAGTTCATATTTTGGTATCGGGTACTTGCACTTTGATAAACGGTGAAAATCTATTTTGGTCGGTATTCAAATCATATTTACCTGTGTAATTGCACAATCCTCGGATATGGCCGTAGAGCGCGTCAATTAACTTCCCCATTATGGATAACATTTCTTCTTTTTTTACTTCAAACAATAATATGTTCAATACAAGAAAAACAATCCATGGTTGTCAGCCATGTCATTTGGGAAAGTTATAATCCTCTTTTCTTTCTGCCGTTAATTCAGAGAAAGCTAAAACTTAACCACATATTTTTCTTAGCTTCTGCATATTTATTCTATTGATGAACTAGTGGTGCAATAACCGGCTCAAAGCAATCCCTCTCCTCCTTGCTGGTGGACCCTCAATCACTTGATCTCAATGAGAACAGCACACTCCAGCTCCAATAGGAGATCCCATACAGAAGTCTGTTCAATATTGAATAAATTGAGAGCTCTACACGCACAGAGATTAGTTTGTTGTGCAATCGCACGAATGACTAGACGCTGATTACATTAAAGCTACGCAGACACAGATGCATCCCAAATTGGTTTGATCTAGAACAGGGTATTTTGACCATTTCATGTTAATTGCAGCTTTTCACAGCGAATCTTATTACCATGATGAAGCAGGGGTTTCCGTCAGTTCGATCAGTAAGCAGTTATTTCTGTAAAGAATATAACCACCATCAGTTTTAAAAATTTCCATAATTTCGCAGAGTAGTTTGACTGAAGTGCAATAAAGACTCGTCTCATTTGGCTAAATTTTTGAAAAATGTTTTCTTTTTAGTTTGTCGATGTCCAACTTAGCCGCGTGCCTTCACTTGAACGATCAAGCTTTTTGAGAGAAGATGTACAAAATTCCTGAAAAACCTTCAAAGAAAAAATTCTGTAGGTCTTTTTAGTATACTCCTTTGACCTACTAACGCTTCATTGCCGATAACAGCATGGAATCGCGACGCACACTAGTCGCTGCCTTTGACACAAAATTGTCTGGTGCTATTCACGGGAAAAGGCGCGCCAAAGGCAGTAACCAGCGCGCGTCGCGTGTTCACTCAGCGACACACTGCAAGCTCCATTTGAATTGTCCGTATCATGTCGGCTAGTTTTGTTTCATTATTG